GTGAAAAACTGTGAGGGAGAAATGGGTTTTAGTGTGGGCGATGGTCAGACCTTTGGCAAGAGGATATGATAAAAAGAAGAAAAAAAGAAAAAAAAAAGTTACTGGAAGACATTCATTTGTTGGTTGAAGTAGTTTAGAGAAGCAAGGGAAAGTTGTACTTTTTATTTTATTTTTTCATTTTCTTTTCCTTCTTCAAAAATTAGATAATTTTGTGGTTTTAGAAGTAAGTGGAGCTGAGGACAATAGCATTTGACATTATAAAACGTGCCCTCTATTGATTTGAGGCTTCTGGGAGAAACAGAACGTAGGGTAAAGTAAAGATCAGAAGTGGAATGTATTCCTCACTGTATATCATGAAGGTCATTTAGGCTGAGGGAAACTTAATGTTTTTTTTTTTTTTTGCAATATTATACTATAGGAGATATTTCTCAAACAGAATATAACTTAGCTTTTATATATATTTTGTAAACTTGTTTCCTAATTATATGTATGTGTAGCATGTCAACTTAGATTATAATACACAACTTAGCATTGTAGAAACTTTTATAAGACTTATCATGGATATGCAGATTGTAAAGGCCATGAGTGATTTGGCATCTGTGGGGATTTTATTTTTATTTTTTTATTGTTATTTCTCAGTGTAATTATTTTAGGGTTCATGTCAATATTTAACTTCGTGTTTCGGACGTTTATATACTAGTTATGATCACTAGCCTTGCTTGAAACATTGTGTCTTTGAAATGATATGTGTACATTTTTCTTTCTGTCTTTCTTACACTCATCTAGAGACCTGAGAATCTCTTTCTTCTTTTATGAAGGTATAGAATAAGATGAAACTAACTCCTTTCTTTTTCATTTTCTTACAGTACCCTTTACTGATTGAGTCTCTATTAGCATATACTGACAGTAACAAACAACCTGAAGAATATGAACAAATCTCTCGATCTCTGGAAAGATCAAAGGAGATTCTAGCCTATGTAAATGCCGCAGTTCAGGAAGCAGAAAATAACCAGAAACTAAGTGAGATACAACGGAGACTTGACCAATCATCGCTTGCAAAGAACAAGCATGGACACTCTGATGAGTTAAGAGGCGTAAGTACTAGCATTACTGCCTTTTTGTCTTGATGTTATGTGGAGATGTGTCAATTCTGAGATGTGAGCCTATACCAATAATGATGCCAGTACCCACTATATAACCCATGCCATCATCTATTATGAATTATTGGTGGATGCTGGTACATGTTTTATATGAATATTGTGTCTGTAGTTAAGAAAAATTTAGAGCTACTTTAATTTGAACTTGGAATAAGAGAAATTTACACAAATGTTACTTTAGGAAATTAAAATTTCAAAAGATTGAAATGGTCCGATCAAAATTGAAGAAACATATTTGTTCATGACCTTTTACCCCAGTCAATGATGGTTGAGCTGAGGACAGTATCTAAGATATCAGCCACCAAGCATACCCTTGGGAATTACTTTCCTTGACTATGTCAATCCGGTTATGTGAATGATAAGTCTTTGGAAAGACTTGAAAAAGAGTTTCGTATTGAATCTAACCACAAAACCAAGACTGTTGTCAGAATTATATACAAAGTAAAGTAGAAAAATTTGGGAGTATTGGCAATATTTTCAGCTTGCTAATGCCAATAGTAATACTAAAAGAAAATGCTGCTACTGTCCATGATGCTGATGCTATTGACACAACTCATTTATCATGATTAAGATGTTTTAAATTGATGTAGCAGACAAAATTTTATATACATATTTCACTTATTTTATTTTGAAATATGTAGTTGTTTTTTATTTCAAGTGGTTAAATTACTTGAAGGATTAAATGTTTGGAGTTACTCAAAATGTTTATTTTTTAGCATTGATACATCACAATAATAATCATTGGTTTCTGCATTTTCCCTTATAGTTTACTCTTTAATTACTTTGCTTGTGTTTATCAGGATGTTGAGTGAGGAGAAAAGAATTTGTAGAATTCATACTTATAGGGAGACAGAAAGTGGGTGTGCTATTTCTGAAGTTTCAGACAGCTACCCTTTTATTTGCTGAAAATAGCCCAACAAAATATCCTAATATTTATTTATTTATTTATTTATTTATTTATTTATTTATGATTTTTTTTTTTTTTAATGAACAGTAACTATTTTGTCAAATAAATGTAAATTAATTCAAAAGTTTATGTGATAATAGTAGTAGTTGTTTCTGATTTTTTTTTTTTATCATATTTGACGACGAGTTCAGATATCTAAATGGGGTTGTTTTCTGATAAATTTATTGTCTGATTGATATTGATACGGTATTGGATAAGAATTTTGGTAATTGGTGAAGAGTTAATTTACAGCAGCTAAATTCACTGAATCTAAACTAAAGGAGAAGTTGTTTGAATAATTAATCAGACAGATTCAGTACCAGGAAAAGGAGTGAAGAATGATCATTGTCCATATTGAAAGTATTTTACTTAGCACCATGTAAGTCATTGAATGATACAATATGAGAAATAAGAAATTGACATAAAAAGGGTTCCATGACAGTCAGCGCATATAGGTCTTAATCCAGTAAGGGAGTATGGAATTGGGCCTTATCTTATGGATGGGGACACACCCACCATTTAGATAACAATCCTCTCCTCCAGTTCACTTGTTCATGGCAAAGAGGGTGTCATTAATGTCCCCTTTTAAATAGTGTTGAAAGTAGCTCGAGCAGCATCTTTGTATTCCAAATCCTGCTTAAAAGTATCATCCGATTTTCTCTTTCCTCAACAGAATCTGGACCTAACTAAACACAAGCTCATTTATGAGGGTCCTTTGACCTGGAGAATTGCCAAGGGTCAGAAGAATATAGATCTTCATGTACTTCTTCTAGATGAGTTTATAGTTCTTCTACAAAAAGCAGATGACAAATATATTTTGAAGAACCACTCCATCAACAAGTCACTTGGGAAGGACGACAACAAATTGACTCACTCTCCGATCATCAAGTATGGACCATCAATGCTCTTCCGAGCTGTGGCAACAGGTAAGGCAGTGATTAGGTTTGATTTGCTTAGAAAATGTGAAATTCCTTGGAACATTTCATTTTCACAGAAAAATGTACCGCTTATAGAAAAAATTGCTATCACACTATTCTCTCTCTCTCTCTCTCTCTCTCTCTCTTCTCTCTCTCTTCTCTCTCTCTCTCTCTCTCTCTTCTCTCTCTCCTCTCTCTCTCTCTCTTTCTCTCCCTCTCTCCCTCTCTCTCCCTCTCTCCCTCTCTTCCCTCTCTCTCCTCTCTCTCCCCTCTCTCTCCCTCTCCTCTCTCTCCCTCTCTCTCTCCTCTCTCTCTCTCTCTCTCCCTCTCCTCTCCTCTCCCTCTCTCCTCTCCTTCTCTCCCTCTCCTCTCTCTCCCTCTCCCTCTCCCTCTCCCTCTCTCCCTCTCCCTCTCCCTCTCTCCTCTCCTCTCCCCCCCCTCCCCCCCTCCCCTCTCTCTCTCTCTTCTCTCTCTCTCTCTCTCTCTCTCTCTCTTCTCTCTCTCTCTCTCTCTCCTTCTCTCTCTCTCTCTCTCTCTCTCTCTCTTCTCTCTCCTCTCTCTCTCTCCTCTCCTCTCTCCTCCTCTCCCTCTCCCTCTCCCTCTCCCGCTCCTCTCCCTCTCCTCTCCCTCTCCCTCCTTCCCTCCTCCTCCTTCCGTCCTCCTCCCTCCTTTCCCTCCTTCCCTCCTTCCCTCCTTCCCTCCTTCCCTCCCTCTCTCCCTCTCCCTCTCATTCCTCAAAATCCTAAAGTATTAAAGCCATCGCGTTGATTCCGTTCCCTCTTCTGCCCAACAGACCGATGTGCATTCTTCATAGTCACAACCCAGTCGGGGGGAGCGCACATCTACGAGCTGGTCACCATTTCTGCAAATGAACGGAAGGTGTAAGTACCCCTTTTTGCAATATTCTCCTGGTGTTCCTTGGCTGCAGTCAGTCAAAGACGGGTATTTTTAGAATTGCGTGTTTAAGAGCTTGAGGAGTGACCAGTGATTATTCTGTAAAAGTGAATGAAAGGTAAGTGTGGTAATTCTGTTAAGGGATTAGGAGAGGGATGAATATATACACAGTGTGAGATTTTGTCAAGTTCAGTTTTCATTAGCCATTAACTCTTTTAAGATCTGTACGCAAATTCGGTACGTTTTTTTTTTTTTTTTGAGTTGACGGTTTATTTGGAGACATCAGATTTTCTGTGACGGAAATATTGGAAGATTTTGATACATCATCTACTGTCCAATTGGCATCTTTTAGGGTGTACAGCACAAGAGCAGTTTTGAAATTCACTTTGCTCGACGCCGAAGTACAACATTACAATACAGGGTCGTGCAGCAACTGTTTCCAAGTTACAGTATAAGGAAAAGTTTAACTGCAATATTAGTCAGGACAAAGCATGGCGAGTGTGCTGTAGGACTTTCACAACGTAAGCCGAGCCAAACGAATTAGTAAAGTTTGTTCTTTGCGTTGAAAAGGCAACGAGCCTTCACAGCAACCGTCACGCACGGGGTCGAAAATGTGCGACCCTTCGATTCTGACAGAATTTGACCATGATGGAGAGAAAGAAACTTTGATTGGGAATTTTATTTGGTGGGCGAACCTCCCCTTAATTTTTGGGGAAATAACAGTTAATTCTAGTGGTGCAAATCAGTTCACTGCGCAACAGTCCATATCAGTGCTGGAAATACATACTATGGGTAACAGTGCGTGATAATAGCGGGCAAAATTTGTTTGTAGTAATATTAATACTGTTGAGTATGTACGGAAAGTTAATAATAATACATGTGTGAGAAAACATGCACTTGCGGTAACAATGATTATGGTGAAAACATTCCTTGGGTAACAATGGGAGAGGAAATATGTCCTTGGAGTTGTAGTTGAAAGCAGTGAGGGAAACTTGTATCTGTGATAACCGGGGGGAAGTATATACCAAAGGTAACAGTTAGTAGTGCATATTGGTAACATTGTTTTATTCAGTTCTTCAAACGGGCTTCCAACTTTAAGACCATTAATTAGATGAGTGACTAAGTGATGGGTGATATGAGGATAGACTGAAAAGTATGAAGCTAGTGATAAAAGGATTTTCTCCTTATCATCACTATCAAATAATAATTCGAGAGACTGAATATTATAGAGCTAGAAATTTCGGAACATAAAGGTTGAGTTGAAGTTCCTTTGTACTTGCATCGCATAGGAAGTATGCATGAAAAGGAAATATTGCGATATTTCCGAGGGAATCTCAGGCGACTTAAAGAAGGTTTGATTTGGCAACACTGCCCATGAGGTCCGTTAGCTGTCGCCTCCCGGGACACGCACTTCGCCTGGAGTCGAAGTGGGGACATATTGACGCACGCACGCACGCACGCACGCACTCAAGCACTCACTCACTCACTCACTCACTCACTCTCACTCACTCTCACTCACTCACTCACTCACCCACACACTCACTCACCCACACACTCACTCACCCACTCACTCACCCACTGACTCACTCACTGACTCACTCACTCACTCACTCACTCACTCTCACTCACTCACTCACTCTCACTCACTCTCACTCACTCACTCACTCACTCACTCGCTCACTCACTCAATCACCCACCCACTCACTCACTCACTCACCCACCCACCCACCCACTCATTCACGCACTCAATCACTCACTCATTCACGCACAATCACTCACTCACTCACGCACTCAATCACTCACTCATTCACGCACTCAATCACTCACCCATCCACTGACTTGCTCACTCACTCACACTGTTCGCAGGAGGAACTAAGGGGCGCATCAGTTCTCAACCTTCCAGCGGTATAATTAATCATCATCAGAGTTTTATTTACTCATTTCCTCTCGAGTGGGTGTCGTATCTCGATGCATGTGCACTGTGACAGCGGGGGTGGGGTGGGGTGGGNGTGTGTGTGTGTGTGTGTGTGTGTGTGTGTCTATGTGTGTGTCTATGTGTGTATTTATGTATGTATGTAGGTATACATTTGTATATGTTTAAACGCGCGCGCGCATAAGCACACACACGCACTTCATTGTGTATTTGCATATACACTTATTCAGTGAATCTTGACTTTTTCTTTGTGCATTGCTTATGAAATTGATCCCAAAAAGGCTTTGTCCCCGGCTTTGGCGACGCTTGCGGGGATGCCTGGTGTTGCAGGGGCTAAGTGGTGTTGCAGCGGCGTGGGCAGCTAGGGCAGCAACCGCGCCTGCCACATGCCCTGGTTCGGCCGCGGTCAAGAGGTCCTCAGTGCCACAGCATCGGCACAAGTGGCCCTCTCATGGCCGGGGCCGAAGGGCGGCTGGCCGATCCTCTTGATCCTCCTCCCGCCGCTGACCCGTCATCGATCATATCTGCGTGCATGCCGGATGCAGCCTTGCATAACAATAATAACCTCTTGTTCTCGGCGAGCCTGGAGCGCGTCAGGCACCTCGCCTCCGCCCACTGCCTGCTCTGGGGGGTGGTGGGGGGGGGCTCTGCACACAAGCAAAGGCAATGTGGGGAGGCAGTGCATACAAACAAAGATAATAAGAAAGGCACTGCACATGAGGCTAGGGAATGGGGAAGGCACGGCGCACAAGGCAGGGAATTCAGCGGGAAAGGCGCTGCAGGAAAAGGCAAAACCAAGTGTTAAGAGAAGGGATTGCACAAGAGAGCAAGGCGAGGGAATGGGGGAAAGGCGCTGCAAGACGGTATGTCGTAAACAAGACAATTCAGTATGATGTAAATAAGACAAAGCCGCATGCTGTAAGGAAGATAAAACCGTATGGAGCAAAGAAGGCCGGCTATTTCAGGCACGGCGAGATGATGCAAAAATGACGCAATAAAATGTAAAGAAGGCGGAGCGCGGCCTAATAGTGCACGGCAGTGAGTGCGAAGCAAGGAAGCAGAAGGTGGAAGATGAAAGGACGAGGAAGAGAGGAGAGAAAGGAAGAGGAAGAGAGGCGAGAACAAAAGTAAGGAAGAGAGGCGAGAACAAGAGCAAGTGAGGAAGAGAGATGAGAACAAAAGAGGAAGAGAGCAGAGAGCGAGGGGACAGAGAGTCTTGAGGAGACTGCTGTTTCTGGTTCTGGAAATATTCTTTCTTTTGATATTGGCCACAATGTGATGAGACTACTGACGTAACGACAATAATAACGACACGGACATCGACTACAAAATTAATTTCAGCAACAACAACGACGACGACGACAACAACAACAAACAACAACAACAACAACAACAACAACAACAACCACAACAACAACAACAACAACAACAACAACAACAGTAGCAGCAGCAGCAAAAACAGCAACAACAACACAATATTAGTAACAATAACACTGAATTGAAACGTTAGACAGACTGCGCGTTGCTTTGGTTGCGGGGACGACACACAGCACGGCAGTAGCTGTAGTAGTGAGTAATAGCATGAGTCACCCACGTGGGCCAGGTGGGGTGCGGCGTGGCGGGGGAGGGAGGGTGTGTGGGGGCGTGAGCCGCTGTGGTCCACCATTGATCTACCTCATGGCCTCCCCTCCCCGCCGCTCCAGAACGCTATCGCAGCCACTCACGTCATCACTGCTATCAGGTGAACACTCACCAGGTGAACGCGATCAGTTCGTAGTGAGACTCGTGTGGACGCCGCCCCGCGCTCGGGAGAAGGCGGGAGGATCTCGAGGAATATACAGTACAGGATGTGGTGCTTTTCTGTCCAAGACGCCAGGTGTCCCGCCGTGGTCGTGGGCGGGAGGACAGCGGCGTGTGTGTTGTCCCCGGCGCTGGACGTTGCTTTTGTGGGTCAGGTTTGTTGTTGTGAGCGCGGAGCCGCACGCGGGGCAGGCGTCGAGGCGGACACGCACGGCGCAGCGTCCGCTCTCCCCTGCGCTCGCTGCGCCGATTTTCTTCTCGGGCTTGAGGAGGAAAAGTTACGAGAAAGTGTTTGTGCGGTCGGCGCGGAGGGAGAGGCTCGGCCGAACGCGGTTTGCGAAAGGTTGCTGGAGGGAAAGGAATTCGGGTGGAATGGGTGAGAGGGAGGGACGAAAAACTGAGAGGGAGGGAGGAAAGGAGGAAACGAGAGAGAGAGAGAGAAAGAAAGAAAGAAAGAAAGAAAGAAA